CTTCCATCCTCAAACCGACGACCAGTCCGAGGCGGTTAACAAGATGATCACCATGTACCTCAGATGCATCACCGGTGACCGCCCACACAACTGGCTCGACTGCCTTCCATGGGCAGAGTATTGTTACAACGCTTCATTCCACCCGGCTCTCCGCACGACGCCGTTCACGGTGGTCTATGGTCGGGCACCACCGCACCTTCGCCGCCTTACGAGCAGGTGTAGCGCCGCAGACCGACACCGTCGACACCATGTTGGCCTACCGCAACGAGTTCCTCATGGAGGTACGCGTCGGTCTGCTTCAGGCGCAGGAGTACGCTCGTCGTCACTACGACGCGCATCATCGAGCTCTGGAGTTCTCCATCGGCGACTGGGTGTGGTTGCATCTGCTGCATCGGCCAACTCAGTCCCTAGTTCCCAGCGTCCACGGGAAGCTCGGGCCCAAGTATGCTGGGCCATATTAGGTGCTGGAACGCGTAGGCACGGTGGCCTACCGGCTGCAGCTGCCTAAAGGTGCCTGCATCCACGATGTGTTCCATGTGGGCGTGCTGAAGCCGTTCTGTGGCCCTCCTCTAACATTCGTTCCAGCACTTCCACCTCTTCAGCACGGGCGACTTCTACAGCAGCCGGAGCATGTCCTGCGTGCCAGCCTGCGGCGTGGCACTTGGCACATCTTGGTCCAGTGGGCAAACATGCCAGCGTCTGAGGCGACTTGGGAGCTGGTCGAAGCGTTCCGCGCCGCGCATCCCTCCTTCCATCTCGAGGACGAGCTGTTTCCCAAGGGGGAGAGATGTTATGGTGGGCCAGACCTATCAGAGGAAGAAGTGCAGCCATGGCTAGAGGGTGCGCGCGCGATGGGAGTACGTGAGCTGCGCGTGGTCACCACGACGCGCTGGGCGCGATCACTACGGGTCTCGACGCCACTTTTCCAGGATTAGTTTAGTTGGGTTATTAGATCATTTGGTTTGTTAGATCACTAGAGTATTTTTAGGAGTTTGTTAGCAGTACGTTGGATTTGCCTATAAGGCTAAACATTTGTTTTATGAGAAGGTTAGCCAGAGATTGAGTTTATCTCTCTCGCTCTTTGGCATTGTTGCTCTCTATCTCTCTCTCGTTCACGTTCACCACCAAGTGCCGAGCATGGCGCCGCCAAACCGCCGCTGGGAATTCAAACCCAGGCCACGGTCCCTAAGCTCCAACAGTATATGACTGCCTTGGTTGACTTTCCAACTTCTTTCTAATTCTCTCAGGAACTCCAAATATGTGCAAAATTACATATATGACCTTTGGTCAAGGAATAGATATTCTAGAGATACATAGGTTTAGGATATGGAATTCAAGGATTCTAGTTATTCCAACGAGAAGAAACTACTATTGAATAAATGACGATGCTAGAAACTGAAGGTATAAGAAAGAATATGGCCACGTCCAGTGGCGAAGCTATGTTGTAGCTTGTGGGTACACATGCACCCACAAAAAATTGAAAAACCAATACTAAAATCAAAATTTCACCATGGTTTTAGCTTAAATTTTCACACATACAAGGCAAATGCACCACCCTCTAATTTACTCTAACTTCGCCACTAGCCACGTCCAAGAAAGGTATAACATTCCTAGAGGAATAAAACTTAACAAAACCTATTGATATCAACTAGCTTGTGGTTTCACTAAGAGCTTCTTCAATGGCTAGTTGTAGGCTGTGTACACATGGTCTGATCTACAGAGCCAGGATACATGGTCTGATCTGGAGAGCCAAGATCTGCCACAACTTCATACACTCAGGTTATTAGGATGCATAAAGTTGACATCCATTCCTCTCATTCTTCAAAAATCAACAACACTTATGAGGTTAGAGGTTGATACCAGAACTACGATTGGTATTGAGGATAAGCTTTGTGGCTTTGTAGAGGGTAAAGTAGTCAGTGTGGACAACACATGGGAACCGCAACAAGATAAAATTGTTGAAGAAGCAGTGGCCCCACAAAATGAACACACAGCTCAACAGAACGGGATTATTGAAATGGCACACTGGTACAGAGACGGGCTTTACTCCCGGTGGAGAACCCCCTCTAGTCCCGGTTCCCCACCCGGGAGCAAGCATCCGGGACTAAAGGGGGTCTTTTAGTCCCGGGTCAGGAACCGGGACTAAAGGGGGTCCTTTAGTCCCGGTGGGTAACACCAACCGGAACTAAAGGTGCCTCCTGACATGCCACAAGGCCGGCACTCTTTAGTCCCGGTTGGTAACCCCAACCGGGACTAAAGGTTTTTTTTTTTTTTTTTGTTTCTATTTCTATTTTCCTTTTTTTCTATTTTCACGCTGCTACCAGGTTTTTTTATTTCTATTTCTATTTTCCTTTTTTCCTATTTTTAATTGATGATTCGTTTTGGTTTTTGAATACGCATTCTACGCTGCTAGAATATACGTACGTTTATAATGTTCAACATTTTATATAAACTATAGTACAAAGGATCTTTAGTCAAGGATCGCGGTAGTACAATCTGTTCAAGTTTCGTCTTTGCTTGGTTCGAGAGTGAGCTTTTAAGTTAGCTTTCACTCTTCCGAGCAAGCGAGGTGGTGCTAATAGGTGGGACTAGCCAGCAATTCCAGCATATTGCGATTGGGCGGCCCATCGAGGCTTCAGAACGCTTGGGATTAAAGACCTTTAGTCCCGGTGATAATACCACCGGGACTAAAGGTACTAAAGTATACCTTTAGTCCCGCTCGTAATACCAGCGGGACTAAAGGTCTTCGTTTTCGATGTCGCAATAAATGCAAGCGGTAAATGCAAGCGGGACTAAAGCTCGTAAATGCAAAGGTAAATGCAAGCCGGGACTAAATCTCGATCTTTGGTCATCAGCTCAGAATACAAGCAGGTACAAGTAAAGCACCGGGACTAAAAGTTCGGTGTTGGTCATCACTCGTAAATGCAAGCAGGTACAAGTAAAGCACCGGGACTAAAAGTTCAAGGTTGGTCATCAGCTCGTAAATACAAGTAGGTACAAGTAAAGCACCGGGACTAAAAGTTCAAGGTTGGTCATCACTCGTAAATGCAAGCAGGTACAAGTAAAGCACGGGACTAAAAGTTCAGTGCTTTGGTCATCACTCATAAAGCACGGCAATAAATGCACTAAAACTTAGAGGACTTTTAGTCCCGGTTGGTGGCTCCAACCGGGAGTAAAGGTCCACCTTTAGTCCCGTTTGGTGTCTCCAACCGGGACTAAAGGTCCCCTGCCACTGTGCCGAGCGCAGTAGCCGTTGGGCAGGGACCTTTAGTCTCGGTTGGAGACACCAACCGGGACTAAAGGTTTCTCTAGTCCCGGGCGCAAAAAATACCGGGACTAAAGCCAAATTTCGAAGTGGATCAAAAGTCGTTTCTCTACTAGTGGCAGCACCACAAAATGAACACATGGCTCAACTCGCTCAACAAAACGAAATTGTTGAAGCATCGGCCCCACAAAATGCACACACCCCTCAACAAGACGAAGTTGTTGAAGAGACACATCCGTGTGAACAAGATGAAATTGTTGAAGAGATAGTGGCTCTAGAAAACAAGAGGCCCAAAAGATTCCAGTTTGATAGAAAAACGGTTGTGCTCTCCATGTTTGCTCCTATTGCAATTTGCTTGATTTTGTTTCTACTCTATGTGCTATTTGACTCTTTTATTATTTCTCTTCATCATTGAGACCATAGGATTCAAAGAGGAGACATTTGTTTTTTTTCTTTCAATAAAGGGAGCTTTTATTATCTTTTCAAGAATATTATACATTGAGACGGTATTAAGTCTTCTAAAAGAACTTCCAACCTCTGCTTAACATAAAGCATATACAACCACAAAGGACAATAGTACCAACACCAAAGGACATTGAAACGGTATAAAGTCCCCATGGGTCAGTGTTTCAAGTCTCCTTTTTCATCTTCTTGGATCAGTCTCTAGCTTGCATCTTAATCATGCATGCCACCTAATAAGCACTCAAACCCTAACCTAGATTGACTTAGCTCATTCACACCGTTAGTAGTGATATAATTGGGCATTTTAGGTTGGTGCGGTTAGGGGAAAGAAGAGAACGTGCATGGGGAGATATGAGAGCTGCGACTGGGGGTGCGGTTGGGGGTAGTTGCGGTAGGAAGGGGAGTTGGGTTTTTTCATAGGCCTTCCTGCATGCCTTGGACTTTCCAAAGGCAGACCTCAGTTAATCAATTTGTTAAGGTGGGTTTTGTCCGTTTGTTGACTACTATAAATGATTTATAGAGATGATAGATCAAAGGTTTCTCTCTTCTCTCTCTGTAAACTAACTCCACTGTCCCCTGAAAACATTTTTGTAGGAGTGAAACGGCAAGTCCTAGTTGGGTGGCTGGTCTCCATGCTTATTTAATTTCATATTTACTGGGTCTAGACTCTAGATCTTGAATCTCCACCTCCACTATGATATTGGCCAGGGTCTAGATCAATTACAGAAGGCATCACATCATGCCAAGACACGCTATTGAACTATAACCCATTTGCTTCGTTAATACTCCTATAACTCTTCTCGTTGAAGATGCCGAGAGTCAGATCCGCTCTAAGCGAGTATATATATATATTCACAATCAACATATCATCATTCATCAGTAAAATACTCAGGTATTATATATGTATACATATACGAGATCCCTAGAATATGCCACGCATCTTTGACAGCTTACAAAAAGGTTTTAATTAATCTCGTCGTGGTAAGCTACTATAGGCCCACTGATGACTGACCTCGTATATACATATCATATCATGTTGTATATATAAAGTCAATGGTCGAACCAACAAAATTAAAGCTAGCGCGCACGCCAACGCAATGCCAGATCAAATCAAATGGCACTAAAATTTTCCCAAATGACGTTGTACTACTGTACCGGCGCGGTTTTGGCCTGTTGCCCTGTCGTCGTCCCACGTTGTCCATCCTCCAGTTGGCCTGGCCCCCGTAGAAGCCGCATCGCTAGCTAGCTCTCCCTAGCCTGCCGGAGGCCACCCATGGCGGTCAGCGTGAGCGCCTTGGGCGCGCACGTCATCCGGGCGCTGGACGACATGCTGCTCCGGGGTCCGCTGCGCAAGGCGGGCGCCGAGCTCCGGGCAGATGCCAAGAAGCTCCGGGGGGAGCTGGAACGGGAGCTGCTCTACTCGCAGGACGCCGAGAACCAGGTGCTGGAGGATGACCGCGCGCGGCGGTGGCTGGCGGAGCTGCGGCAGGTGCTGTACAGAGCGGACGACCGCCTCCTGCAGGCGTACGGCGGGGCCGACGCGCAAGACCAGCGGACGTCCATGTCTCTACCTCTACCTCTACCGGTGAGTGAGCAATGACGACGACGACGACGACGACTTTTGCATGCGTGCGTGTGGCTTGCTGGCTTTCTTTCTTTCTTTCTTTCTGATTTAATTTGTCCGTTCGTGGTTTTTCGTTGAATTGGGTTAGTTGGGGACAAAGTTACAGCATCAGATACGCAGTCCCATCAGACAGTCTCTTCTTCTTTGACATCCTTCTAACCTTTTGGCTTCTGCCTTGATGAATGAATGATGACTCGTCATCAGCCCCGTTCGGCTTACTCCCATATTCGACTTGTTCGCTTTCGCTTTTTTTTTAGCGAACAATGTTTTTTCTTACAATAATTCAGGCAGTAAGCAGTGTTTTTAGCGAGTTTCAGCTAAAATTCTGCCAAATTGAACGGGCCGCCGTCTTTCTTTAGTTTATCGCTATCGGAAAAAGGAGATGTTATGTTTTAGACCAAGGAAAATTTATTCGGTCTCGACAGGAGTCTCAGACTTGATCATCTATTACTAGGGATGAAAACGGCACGGATATTTTCCGACCGTATTCAAAACCGAATCCGTTTAGAGGGGTTGAGATCTGTCCATATCCGAAGTTCGGATATCCAACATCCGATACCGTATCCGTATCCGAATACTCAAATCGCATATTTATGATGTCGATATCAATCGTATCCTATCCGACATAGTTGACACTATCCGTATTCGAATCCAAATCCGGACAAAAATATGAAAACAAATGTAATATCGGTGATATCCGTCCGTATCCGATCCGTTTTCATCCCTATCTATTACTACAACAAAGTTATTATAGCCTTGGGGCGAAAAAAAAGAAACTCTCAAAGAGTACCAAATTTGAAGGGATCCACAAAAAATAGCAACAAACTAAACGCAAAATCTATTACATGGATAGCCATCCATTCTCGGTGAAGATCCACATTATTGTTTACTCGACATGCCCACTTCAAATTCGATTTGAAGGAGGCACCACCAAAACCTTGCCTAATACACAGTCCAATAAGATATGCTTATACGCGGTAGTAGACAAATTAAGGAAAACCATTCATTATTACAAAGTTTTATAGCCTCGGCCGAAGTGAAGAAACTCTCAAAGAGCAACAAATTTGAAGAGATAAAAGGAAACTAACAACAAACTATAAGTGTACAACAAGATCACCAACAATTCTTGACGAAGATCCCTATTTCCCGTAGTCTCCATTACTCGACATGCTCACTTCAAATTGGGTTTGTCGGCCTTCCTTTGAAGGACGCACCATCAGAACCTTGCCAAGTATTGCCCCAAAAATAACTTGTAAATAATAGTACAGTGTTTTTATAAAAAAGTTATTTTATTTCTAGTCAACCGTATAGCCCAAAATATGACACTTGCTCTAGTTATTACCTTTTATTCAAAAGTTTCATTGTTTACTTTAGTTACAAAATATTATAGGTCACAGGATACCCTTTTAGTTCTTACAATCTCATAAAATAGTAATTTTAGTTTGCACCGTGGCACTCAACATATTAAATTTGTTATATTGCAGAGTTATGTGTTGTAGTATTATTTTTTAAATTAAATCTCTAATATTGATACAATATAATATTTAGTCTATGTATAAAATTATTTAAAATAATAACTTATGATGAGTATTAATATAACTTAGAGTAAATTGTTGGTGTTATTGTTGTGTGGTTTATTAAAGAAACATTCTTCACACTTGATAAGCTATTAGAATAAATATTTATTTTATTGTATATATGTTTACTTGATATATATCCTGAAACGTAGCATTATGCTTACTTTTAACTTATAGAAGTATGTAATTTAGAAATATATAGAGCACTTTATGGATATTAAATTATTTTTCATAATAGTTTATATTGTATTTACATGTAAATTTGAGAGATATTTTTATTTATTTATTTGTAAACACCGAGGTGGATAATTTATAAAGAAATTAAAAGATATTACTTTATATTAACTTTCATAATTGTATATATGAGTAATTTGAATGTAAACTTAGGGCTTGATTTGCATTATCCTTCGTAACAGTAGTGGTGTGTAATTTAGAAAAAAATATTAGAGGGTTATGTTAAATCATCTTTTATAGTGGCATAGGTCAATAATTTAGATACAAAGTTATGAGGTTATTTTGTATTATCTTTCATAATGGCAGAGATAGGTAATTTAGATGCAAATTTAGGTGGTTATTTTTAATTATATTTTATAATGACGTATGTGGGTAATTTATATACGAATTTATAAGTTATTTTGAATTTTCTTTCATAATGGTAGAGTAGGGTAATTTAGATGTAAAATTACTTTTATATATTTTTATAATGATAGAGGTCGGTGATTTTTATAAAACTGATTAGACCAAATTGTTATTATTAGCGATGGTAATTACAAATTAAAGGCTAGATGTCTGATTGTTGTGAGAATTTATAGAATTTATCTTTTTGTAACATGTTTGGTGAGTTAACATGGAGACTCTGTTAGAACCTGTAATTAGTAATAGTAAGATAAGATTGTTATGTCAGAGAAACTTGTGATAATAGATTAATTTATAAGACTTTATAGAGGAACGAAGTTAGTAGCGGCTACTAGAACCTCATTATGTATTCAAATTATTGCGTAAATCATCCATTTCACCATTTGATAGAGACCCAAAATCCATAATGGTTTCTCTTCAAATCTATTTATGTAGACCTCCCCTCCGGGCGTTATGTTCTCACAATTCTACCTATATGTGATCGTTGACTACAATGATTCATTTTCATTTTAATTAATCTTAGTTTCTTGGGACTTTGACGATTATTTGCGCTCTATATGGATTGTGTTGTCAACCAGAAAATTATATATTGATTTCATCAAGAAATACAATTTTCAAATAAATATTTTATTTACTCTGACTATGTGAGTAAACATTGTTGTCAGCTAACAACGGCTTCGATAAACAAACTTAAAACTTTCTCACTGTGTAAATATTAACATTAGAGATAGCAATTTGTTTAAGTAATGTTTTTTACTGTTTCATATTGACTATCCAATAGAGATCACGGATACCAAATTGGTTGAAAGATATTTGTCATTCGAATGACTTTAAATAAAAAGAGTTTTCAATTCCACAAAAGGCTATAATTTTCATATAAAATTTCTCCTTTGACCTTGGATCTGTTTGGCGTGGCTCTGACTTAAGTTCGAGCAGTAGCTTTGGCAGAGGAGCCCGAGAAGCCACACCAAACACCCTAAGAGGATAAAGCTTTTTTTAGGAAAGAGGAGCCGGAGCTGTTGTTTTTAATACAAAAGAGTTGCAATTTATGTCTCCTTCCTTAGAGCTCGGCTCCTCCGGAGAAGCACATAAAGGAGTTGCATAAACAAGTTATGAATTTTAGAGGACAACCTGAAATTTTGGTGGCGTCAACTCGGTGGAATACTCATTTTGGTGCTTCAACTATTGCACAAGGAAATTTTTAGAATGGCCATTTCAGTCCTTAGTTTTTTTGGGCATCATTTTACCCTCGAACTTTCAAACTGATTGGTTTGTTTTAGCATAATTTTCAGCCATGAATTATCAAATTGCTTTTTAGTCGTTGAATTTTCCTTTTTGGCTCAACTTTGTCCCTTTTCCTACGTGGAACGATGCATTGTCATGCCTCTTCAACTCTAACACCACCCATTACTTTAGATGGATAGTTAATTAGTTATTGTTAGTTACCGCTATTCCTTGCGTCGTCCTAGCTACCTAATCACATAGCACACTTTCAGCTTTATATCCATATTTAAAAAATGGAAATATATATATGAGTATTCTTGAATATGAGTTATTTTTTAGCCTATGGATGAAAAATATTATTTTTGTCCATAGTTGATTATTAGTTGAGCCTAACACTAAAAGTAGTTAAGGAAAAATATTGTAAATTTGTTGTTGTTTTTTTAATTTATCCATGTGTTCTTATAAGGTACTAAATAGCATATGTAGCAGTAATAATTGCTCTCATGAAAACAATCTAATAGGATGTATTTAAATGGTACCATTACAAGGTAATATTAAAATAATACATTAGAATTATTAATGGTCACTAAAGAGATTTGGACAATATTATCTCCCGTCGTTGGTGGTGTTCAGATATGACAAGGGGTGAAGTTGAGTTTAAAATAAAAGTTTAAAAACTGAAATGCACTTTGTAGTTTGCGATGAAATTGAGTCTATCTAAATAAAAAATTATAAAGTATGAACTACGAAGAACTCAAAACTAAAGTTTAAGGACCTAGCCATTTTGAAAATTCAGAATTAAAACTGAGCCTCGACCCATAGTTTAGGTTGACCAATCGTCGGTAGAGTCGGGGACGGCCACGTGGCATGGTCGGGTCGGGCCTCCAGCGGCGTATGCCCGCGGCCACAGCAGGCGGCGCCTGGGCGAGGGCGGGGGTGGCAGGACGGGGACACGCTGTGCAGGCGTGCCGGGAATGGGCGGCTGGGCGGGGGTCGCGGCGGCGGACATGACGGGCGGGCCCGGGGCCGACCGACGCTTCGTGCGGTGGCCTGGCGTTGCGGGCGGAGGCGTGGGGGCCGGTCGGGGGTAGGGCCTGGCTGGGGCGGTGGCGTCGTGTCGGGGGCCATCAGGAGACTCGGGCGGTCTGCTATGTTGGCATGGTGCTTTAGCCAAAACCAACTGATATGCTGTGTCTGTTGTAGTGATCTAGTGTGAGCTGAAAACAAGTGTAAGGGCGTGAGGATCATGCTAGCCCCATATGATATTGGCACAGTCCATCTTGTGAAGTTCATGTGGATGACCAGTAGGCAGTAGCCAAATGTCCTAGGTTGATTTGTCTTATTTGTTAGTTTCCTTACTGACACTCTCTCCATTTACAGATTGTGCGCCGTTTTACCACGGACAGGTATATCAAGCAAGAAGTAAGGAACTTACTTAAGGATGTAGGTTCAGTATCTAAGAACCGTCCTCCCACGCTCTCAAGCAGAAAAATGGGAGATGATCAGCATGACAGATCATGTGATGGTCAGGAACTCATGCGCCATGACAATTTAGTGGATACAGAAAAAATTGAGATGAGGATATTGCCATTGGTCGACAAATTGACAGAACATCATGAACCATCTCGGCAGTTTGTCATTTTTGCAATCTATGGGCTGGGAGGAGTAGGAAAAACAACTATAGCCAGAAATATATTTGATGATCAGAGGACGCAAAGTGCTTTCAGCACACGCGTATGGGTGTCCATTTCTAAAGGATCCAGTGTTGCTCAGATCTTACAGGCAACATGTGCTGCACCAGCTATAGGGGTCCTGAAAGTACCAAAAACAAAGAACAAACTCCAGATGCTGTTGGCTGACAAGATTGGGGGAAGGAGAATCTTTCTGGTTTTTAACATATACAATGGTGTTCCCTCAAAACAAGGCATAGGCAACGCTGAAATATTTGGGAACCTGATTGAAGTCCTCAAGTTCTTTCATGCTGCTGCTGAAGGGAGCCGTGTTTTGATAACAACTAGTGATGAGAATGTTGGCAATGAGATAAAGTCAGCTCAAATCCAGAAAGGCGCCGAAGGATACGGTCTCCAAACAGACCGCATATGGCAGCTAACAGTGGAAGATAGTTGGATGTTACTACTTAGGGCAGCTTGTCTGGAGCAAGCAAAAGTCACACCAGAACTAAAGAAAATTGGTATAGGAATTCTGCAAAAATGCAATTGTCTTCCTCTTGCCATTGAGGCTGTTGGAGGTGTTCTTCGTCGAAAGGGCCACAGACAAAAGGAATGGGAGGGAATATGTGATAGCAGAGCATTTTCTCTCAAGGATCCTACCACGGGAACTGAAGGAGGAGTTAGGAGCAGCATCTATCTGAGCTACCAGTATGCTCCACCACACCTAAAGCAATGCTTTCTTTACTTATCACTTTTTCCTGTAGATTTTGAGATTGAGCAACACTTGGTTACTCAGTTGTGGATTTCAGAGGGCCTTATTGATATTGGTACAAGACATGGCCACTCATTAGAAGAGACTGCTAATGAGCAGAATAGTGTTTCCCAAGAGGAATCCAACAAGCACAACAACAGTGAAGAGACAGCACAAGAGCGAGGGCAAAGCATCACCTCGTCTGAAATTGTTGTTGTTGATGATGAGAACAATGTTTCATCAGAACATGCTAGAGAGAACACTACTTCGTCGCAAGGGATAGTAGAGGACCACAACCATCAGCCACCTAAAGGGTCACCTTGCGTCAGCAGCAGTGGACATTCTTCAAAAACAAGTCTAGATAATAAGCAAAGCCATTGTTCGGTTCAAGAGATGGCTGACTCATACTTCAAAGAGCTTGCAGAGAGGGGTCTTGTTCAACGAGAAAACAAAACAAAACGATATAAGATGCACGAGCAAGTTAGGAAAATTGCAGAATCCTTAACTGAAAATGAGGTATGTGCTGGCGATCCCAAGTATGTGGCTACATTGCCAGCTAGCCTGTATCGTCTATCTTTTCTGAACAAAGGACTGACCACTATCCCTGAAGACGTCGGAAGGCTAAAGAGTTTGAGGACACTTCTCCTATCTGGCAATCCACTTGGTGAAACTGACATGGAAACCATATGCAAGAACCTGGAATTATTGCGAGTTCTTGACCTCTCAGATACAGAGATCCAATCTGTTCCAAAGACGTTGGAAAATCTGGTGTACCTTAGGCACCTAAATCTTTCCCGTACAAAAATAAGAGCACTCCCTGAGTCCATTGGCCGCCTCAGGAGACTGCGGTTCTTGGGTTTGCGGGAATGTGAACATCTCACTTCCCTTCCCAAAAGCATACAAAAGTTACTGAAGCTGGAATATCTCGACTTCAGAGACAGTGGCATTACAAAGTCCACAAGGTTGCACAATCTGAGGCATCTTGCACTTCTTCATGGCTTTGTAGTGGACAGCATGTCTTCAAATGGCTTACCTTTGGAAGATCTGCAGAACATGAGCAATTTAAGTGACCTGCAGATAGATATTAGAAAAATTGTAGACAGAAACATTGCAAGCTATGGAAATGGAATGCTGAAGCTGAAGGAGAAAGATAATCTCAGGAACCTGGAGATCAGATGCTGTACTCTTAAATCAGAAACTTTATCAGCTGGAGAGCTAGAGAGATCGAAAACAATGTTCACACAGCTTCATCCTCATCAATGTTTAGTGTCACTCAAAATTGATGGTTACCATGGAACTGTTTATCCAGAATGGTTATGTTTCTCTGAGCTTCCAAATCTGCAACACCTTAGCCTGGAAAACTCCAAGTTCTGTGAAAGGTTACCACCAATTTGTCATCTTCAGAAGTTGAAGTTTCTCAGAATAGCCAATCTTTCCAAGCTGCAAACAATTGACATGCAACCAACATCAGAAATGCCATCATTTCCTAATGTAGAGGAGTTGGAAATTGAGGGCATGGAAGATTTGGAGTACTGGTCAGATTTTCGAGCTGGCGACCTGCTACACCTTCGAAAGCTGGCACTCATAAGGTGCCCAAAGCTGAAGCGTCTTCCGGGTGGCTTGGAGCACTGCAAAACTATGTCAAAGATGGAGCTGATACATGCAGGACTAGTACAGGTCCTTGAGAAAATCCCTGTGCAGGAGTTGCTTGTGGAAGCAATGCCAAGTCTCAGGGAAGTGTCAAATCTTCCACTAATGAAGGTGTTTACAGTGATCAGCTGCCCAAACCTGGAAACTGTTTCAGGGGTGAACTCACTGCAGCACATTCACATGGAAGATGAACAGCTTGAGCAGCTTCCGAAATGGCTGGGACAGCATTTTTCAAGGATAGAGACACTACATATAGAAGGCAAAGAAGAACTTCTTGCGAGATGTGAACGCAATAAGGAAGACTGGTATATCATTCGAGAGATTCCACGCGTTTATGCATATTTGCCTAAGAGATTGCCATATTTCTCATATGCCCGGGGCAATGATTTCTTTTTCAAATACAAGACACAGAGAACAGACGCACGTAAGGATCATCTTCCTTCACAAGAAGCTGGTGTACAGAGAACAGGTTCTACAAGCTCGTCCAGCTCCACAGGTAACGATGATTCACCATGGGGACCAGCAGCTCCGGTTGACGAGACCAGCAGGAAGTTCTTGTCACTGGGACCACCTCCGGCTGATGAGACCTACAAGAAAATGTTGTCGGCGGTGTCATTGTTTGCTGCTATCGTGCTTTCGATGACCATGAATCTCACCGACTCCCACCACAACCTGTTAGAAGACATCTCTTTGTTTTGTTTCTACGTCTGTACGTTGTGTTACTTATCTTTTTTGGTAATGAAACGGCATCGGTAGCCTGAATGTGCCACAATGCCCTCTTGTATCTGTATACCATCATATACTTGGGCCACAATACATCTTGTGGACAGCTTGATCTGTTTCTGATGGATAGAGCTCGTGTAGTGAACATTTTGTGTAGTAGTTATTTTCGTTGTTTTTTCTGGCTTTAGCCCTGAACTCTTTTGTATACTGGTTTTTACTGGTACATTTTTATTTACAGCTCCTGTTGCAACCAAAATTCCCGACATCGTCTCTGTGCTCAGTTCTGTTGCAAAAGCAGTGTGTACTAGCAGTGTTACATGATAGTAATACCCGGTACCCTCGGTTCCAAAGAGTTTTTACCAGCGTTTTAGAACCGACCGTACGCAAGTGTAAGTAGAAATCGCTTTCAGTCAGTTCCTCACCTGAAGGTGAAAACCATTTTGTACCATTGGCTCCTTGTGGCAAACAATGATGAAGATCATATATGTACTGGTCATTTTTGCATCATCGGTTATAAGCATCAACCAGCGGTCCAAGTTCAATTCTGTACCGTCGGTTGGATCCACAGCTGACACTCTCAAAGTAGTGAGAAGTGTTAGTCCCGAGATCTCTCACACGGGTGAGCCGACCGCTTTCCGGCATTCTCGTTCACTATGGCTAGAGGTATAAAAAGGAATGATGAACGGAGCGCGCACGTACACACAGCACAAGTATCAACGTTGGCCGGAGCTCTGCAGAGGAGATAACAAAATTGAACTCGCTCTCTTTACTGAGTTGCAGTGGGAAGCTATATATACAACTCTACCCATCTAATCCTAGGACACAGACATGCCAGGTTGCCACAGTGACTAGATGTAACAACATGGCTGACTTTGGCGCTTGCCCCTACTGTGGCTACAGTGCGGCAGGGGAGCTTTTCGGCGCCTGCCCCTGCCGCGGCTACAGTGCAGCAGCACAGGAGACCTTTCAGCGCATGCCCCTGCCGCGCGTACAGAAGGGAGAGCAACAGATTACTTTACAATTCTTTCCCTAATCCTGCTGCTAACTCTAGAACCTCCACCATGCCGATCATCTTCTTCAGCTCCGTGAACCGAAGACGGCCAAGCGGCTTAGTGAGGACGTCCGCGACTTGCCGACCAGTTTCGACGAACTCGATGACGATCTACCCTCCATCGACACAGTCCCTGAGGAAGTGGAACTTGACGTCGATGTGCTTGCTCCGGTCGTGGAGAACCTGATTCTTCGCGAGGGCGATGACGGGTTGGTTGTCCACCATCAGTGCTGGTGGGTGAGATTCCACACCGATCATCCCGCCCAGCAGTCGGCACAGCCACACAGCTTGGCACGCCGCTGTGGCCGCCGCCACATACTCTGCCTCGTATGTGGACAGTGCCACCACCTTCTGTTTCAGCGACACCCATGAGATTGGAGCCGATCCGAGGAAGACGAGCACGCTAGAGGTGCTCCGCCGTCCGTCGATGTCCCCCGCCATGTCTGCATCGTAGAACACAGTGAGCTACAACGCACTTCCGCCGGTCTTGGGGAAGACGATCACCTGATCTGCCGTCCCCTTAACGTAGCGTAGCACCCACTTCACCGCGGCTCAGTGATCCTCTCGGGGATCCTCCTTGAAGCGGCTGACATAGCCCACGGTGAACGTAATGTCCGACCTCATGTGGACTAGGTAGCGCAGACCACCGACGATGCTCCGGTAGAGTGTTGCATCTACCTTTACCGCGGTAGCGGCCTTCGTCAGCTTCAGCCGCTCCTCCATCGGAGTTACGCACGGCTTGCACTCAGCCATGCCGCTCCGCTCCAATAGCTTTGAGGTGTACGCGCTCTGACCGAGCGTGAGCGCATCCTTCCCCTGTCTCACCTCGATGCCGAGGTAGTAGGAGAGCGCGCCGAGATCGCTCATTCGAAAATGAGCCGCCATCTCGAGCTTGAAGCTGTCGATGTCCTCCGCACGCACGTCAGTGACGATCAAGTCATCCACCTACACGCCGACGACGAGCTCCTCCTTCCCCCGTCGCTGCGTGTAGAGCGCGTGCTCGGTTGCGCACTGCGTGAACCCAAGCTCGCCCAATGTGGAGTCAAGCTTGGCGTTCCACGCTCACGGGGCCTGCCGCAGCCCGTAGAGCGCCTTGCGTAGTCGGAGCACCCTGTGCTCTGCTCCCTTGACGGCGAAACCCGGAGGTTGACTGACAAAGACCGTCTCTGCCAGCTTGCCATTGATAATAGATGGACGCGCCAGTCCTTTGATGCTGCCAAAGCCAGCAGCAGTCGGATAGACTCCATGCGTGCTACCAGCACAAAGACTTCCTCCAAGTCAATGCTCTCGCGCTGGACAAAGCCTCGGGTGATGAGGCGCACCTTGTGCTTGACAATCGCGTTGCGCTCGCCCCGCTTGACCTTGTACACCCACTTCAGGCCGATCAGACGGCATCCTGGAGGTGGATCGACGAGCTCCCAAGTCTCGTTTTGCTCGATCGCCTTCATCTCCTCCAGCATCACCCATCGCCAATTTGCATCGCGCTCGGCCAGTGCGAACGTGGGTGGTTCCTCTACACTGACGAGAAGTAGTTCTAGGTCATTAAGCAGCCGACTCGCCAGGCCTAAGGACCCTATGCCACCGACAATGTTGTCCAGCCTGTAGAACCGCACCTCCTCACCGTCGTGAAAGGCATCCACAAACTCGGTGATGTCGCTTGGAGGTGAGGTTAACTCGATCAGCGTCGATGGAGTCCCCTGTTCTGCCAGAGTGGTCAGCACAACACCTGGAGTGCTCAGCACCCCGGCTGCAGTGCTTGGCACTACTCCTGGACCTCTTGTCACCACTGCAGGAGTGCTCGACACCAGTCTTGGAGTGGTTGGCACCACTACAAGACCTCTCGGCTCTACTACGGGAGCGTTCGGCACCCATCCTGGAGTGGTCGGCACCACTGCAGGACCTCTCAGCTCTAGTACGGGAGCGTTCGGCACCCATCCTAGAGTGGTCGGCACCACTGCAGGACCGCTCAGCACCACTCCTGGAGTGCTCGGCACCCCTCCCAGAGTGCTCGGCACCGCCCTAGGAGTGCTCGTCTCTGTTGCTGGAGTGCTCGGCACCTCATCTCTAGCGTCTCCACTACTGTGGATGACCAAGGGCTTGATGATGAAGGTGCTGGTGAGGCCGCCAGCTTCCCCCATGCTCGGACTGTCCCAGTCCTAGGCCGCCTTCTCGTCGAACACAACATCGCGCGAGACAACCATCTTGCCTTCACATGGGTCGTAGAGCCGGTACGCCTTGGTACCTTTCTCGTAGCCTAGGAGCACCATCGGTGTGCTCCTGTCCTCCAGCTTGGTGAGGACCGGCTTCGTCATCCTGACGTGGCTGATGCAGCCAAATGTATAGAGGAAGGACATGCTCGACTTGCGCCCATACCAAGCTTCGAATGGCGTCTTGCCCTTCAAGGCCTTGGTGGGCGTGCGGTTGAGGATGAAAATCGCCGTGGTCACCGCCTCTCTCTAGAACTTTGCTGGCATGCTTTTGGCCTTCATCATGGATCGAGCCATGCTGACCACCTTCTGGTTCCATCGCTCCACCACGACATTCTGCTGTGGTGAGTACGGTGCGGTGTGGTGTCGCACCACACCCTGATCTGCGCAATACGCAGCGAACTCTACTGAAGTGAATTTGCCACCGTGATCAGTCCGCAGCACGCGCAGCTTCTTGCCGCTCTTCGCCTCCACGCGCGCGTTGAACTTCTTGATCGCCTCTGCCACCTCGTCCTTGCTCGTTAGGAGTTGCAGCCACATATAGCGACTGCAATCATCCATGAGCAGGCGAAAGTACCACCGACAACCGTTTGTGTCTGGCGTGATTGGCCCGCAGAGATCGCCGTGGACGAGCTCGAGAGCGCCCGCCGCACGATACTTGGCCGCCTTTAGGAATGGCAACCTCCTCTGCTTCCTGGCCAGGCAGCTATCACATAGCTTGCCTGTGTGCTTGATGTGGGGCAGCCCTCAGACCATCTTCTCCAGCCGATCGAGCGCGTCTAAGCTGAGATGGCCAAACCGGGCATGCCACAGCCATGGCTCCTCCGTGTGCCATGCTGCCAGGCACATCGGCTGCTCCACCTTTAAGTCGAGTAGGTACAGCTAGTTTTGGGCCCTCTTCACCTTGGCAAGAAGCCGCTGCTCCTGGTCCCTGATCCTGAGGACACCGTCCTTGATCAGTACCTCGCTATCGCGCTCATCCAGCTGGCCAATGCTGATGATGCTTGAACGCAGCTGTAGGATATAATATACATCCGTCAGCGCATGGTGCTCGTCGTTCTGGCACCTGAAGATTATGGTGCTGCGCCCTCGGATCGCCACCCTTGAGCCATCACCAAACTTCACCGTGCCGGTCACGTTGCTGTCAAGCTCAGAGAAGGCTTCCTTGGAACCCGTCATGTGGTTGCTGGCACCGGAGTCTAGGTACGACCGCTACTCCTGTTCGCTGCCCACATATCTGAGGTGGACTTAGGCGCGTGGTTCATCGAGGTTGACAGCCTTCATAGCCTTGTCGTGCCCTTCCACTGCCATCACCTCTCCCTTCTCCTTGGCCTCAATGTCGTGTAGTGCATAGAACGTCGCCATCAGGAGAGTGGCCTCATCATCCTCATCAACCTACGCTAAATGAGCCTCAGCCTTCTTCTCCTGCTTGTGATTTGGGCACTCCTTTTCCCAATGGCCTGTCTTCCTGCAACACCGGCAGGCGTTGGGGTCGACTTTCTTCTTCTTCTCCGAAGAAGCCTTGCCGCGGCGCTTGCCATCGCACCACGACTGGAGGAGGCTTCCCCGGACTTCTTCATACGGGCAACCCACTCCTCTCTATCAGCAGCAACTTGCCGCTGTCCATCGTTGTTGTGGCCTGCTCCATGCGCTCATCCACCGCCCGTAGATAGCCTGTCACATCCTCAATGGTGACGGTGGACAAGTCCAGCATCATGTCTATGGAGAGAGCGATTTGGATGTACTTCACTGGCACGGAGTGGAGGTACTTGGAGACCGCCTCTTCTTCGTCGATGGTGATGCCATGGCTCCTCAGCTTGCTGATGAGCGACTACAGATAGAGGGAGAAGTCCTCCACAAACTCATCATCCTTAAACTAGAGGTTGGCGTACTCCGCTTCAGCAACTGGGTTGTCGCCTTCTTTGCTTGTTGTCGAGCCGACACGCATCGCCGCAATGGCCTCCCATGCCTCCTTAGCAGAGTTCTTCATCCCCAATGGCTCCTCAGACTACCGTGGCATAGCAATGAGGATAGCCTCCAACGCCGACATGTTGACTTTTTTC